AACCCCCTTACCCCCGCCCCCCCCCCCCCCCCGGGTCAGAAATGCCGACTTTGGTCAAAAATATCGATTTTTAGAAAAGCACATGATTGGGTATCCCAAAGTGTCTACTTTCTAATGGCATAATTTGTGTCGAAAGGATAGGCTTTGAGCGAGTTTTCCAAAACACCTATACTTAAAAACTGTCTGAGTGTTAAATAATTTGTTGATACTTTGCTATAGGTTAGCGGTCATGGAGATCTAATGAACATGTGTAATGAACAATTTCCCATTAGTATCAGAATATTTTCTTCTTCAGTTATTTTTCAGCAGTTCAAACAAAACTGACCTCGAGTTTTATAATCTTTTATAATCGATTAGTATCGTTTATCTTGAGTGCAAAGCGTTTTGAAAGGACACACAAAGATATGCTGCTAAAATATCAAGATAGAGGCCGCTTTTTTTGAATACGTCAAAGTCAGTGCACAGCTTCACACGAAGACTTTTACGTCAAATAGTGTTCAGCGGCATCAGTTTTAATCATACAGTTTGTCTTTATCAAATCCACTACTCAGCTCACTATGTTTATCATGAATTCAGTTAAATCTCTTATGTTAGACGTTTAAATTCACTTAGTTGTGACTATATGTTGCTGGACTGTATTGTGCATCAGTGACTTATTTCTGAAAACATTCAAACAATTCGTAAGCTATTTGTCCAGTAATGAACTGCCCCATTCTTCAGTCTGTCAAGAAAAGTCATTATTTCCAACACATCTTGAACATCTTAAATGCGTAGAATCCTACGCTCTATTCGAATCTGAAGTATTTTTTGCGTCTGAAACTAAAAATTTTTGAGATATTCTCATTTTGAGAAAAAGTCCAAAAAGTTTACAAATTGAATTTTGACTTAATGATGACTTTCGGTTTCATTGAGTCGAATGTGAAAAACTGTATATTTCGGCAGTCCGACGTGTCGTGAAACGCCATTTATCGCTTTTAGTCTAATATGCGATTTCTTTTAGCCAAGGAAAGTGCAATATTTTGATGAATATAACTTTTTTTCCGTTTTTTCAGAAAACTATTTAAAAAAATAAAAACCAAAATAAACTTTCATTAAAATTTCTCTATTAACTGACAGTGTCAACGTAAATCATATGCATACTGGCGCTTACTGAAAGCATAGTTTGACAAACAATGAATGAGTTGATGTCTTTTGTTGGTGATAAATGACAGTCGTTAATAACGGCTAAAGAATGATTGGAGTAAATAAAGAATCCATTTTGGATCTTACTTTTCTAATGTCAATATATCAAACAAAAGGAAAAGAACGAAAACAATGTCGTACCAGTATGTTTCTCGTAAAAAGATCGAGAAAAAAACACGACAGAAAATAATCAAATTTTATGTAATGCTCGATTTAGATTTTCAACCAGATCATGAATATCAACTTTATTCTGAATAAAAAGACTCGAATGATAAAACAATTAACGTTTTTATTTTTCTCATTCTCAGCTACATGTAAAAAGGAAAGAGAGCAACGTTTTCGGTTTTTTCACCAGCTTCGTATCTTCTGTATATATTCGAAAAATCGAACAAATTATTTATTATTCGTATAAAACTTCATGTCATCTTGTAGACATACTGACTGTAAAGGAAAAAATCGAAAAAGTTGCTTGCTTTCCTTTTTACGTGTAGCTGAGAATGAGAAAAATAAAAACGTTAATTGTTTTATCATCCGAGTCTTTTTATTCAAAATAAAGTTGATATTCATGATCTGGTTGAAAATCTAAATTGAGCATTACATAAAATTTGATTATTTTCTGTCGTGTTTTTTCCTCGATCTTTTTACGAGAAACATACTGGTACGACATTGTTTTCGTTCTTTTCCTTTTGTTTGATATATTGACAATAGAAAAGGAAGATCCAAAATGGATTTATATTTATTTACGGATAAAAGAAGCCACCACATAAATTATAGCTTTGAATAATTAGTAATGCATAATTTAAAATTCTTGTTAGACTTGTCCACTGAAAACTAAGGATTAATTTCGCATATCACAGTAGCACGCTTACATTCATTAAATTGCCATTGAGACTCATTTTTCTTGACATTATGAACTCAAAGGTTCTTATTCTACATATCAATTTTTAATGTATCTGATGATAATTTAATTTTTGTTGATACGTTTTCCAATGTGTCCTTATTTTGTAGGTTGTCTATGTTTTTTAATTTTAAAGTTTTGGATTGATATACATTGTTTGAAAAAAGTCATTAGAATGGATCGTAATTCGAATAGTGAATCGCATATGGATGATGAAACAAATTCTTTAGAAGAAATTGAACAAATTTGTCGAAATATTCACCATTACGATCCATGTTTTCGTGTATCAATGATTAGTCATCATCTACAACGTTTAGGGGTTTCATGTAACGATGAACGCATCGTAAAACTCGTATCGTTATCATTTGAAACAATATTAAGAAATATTGTCACTGATTGTGCACTTATTGAGCAACAACAGCGATCTATATCTGATAATAGCACATCTTCAACTTTTACGACAAACACATTAATTCAAGCATTAACAAAAAATGAAGATGTTTCTTTATCATCCCTTCCATCAACAATAGCATCCATACCGCAATCGTCGCTTCCCTATGAATCAGAAAATATGTTCGATCTCTAAAGGTACTTTGTTGTCGCTTTGTATGTTTTTCGTTTGTCATATAAATAACATTTGCTGAACGTTGTTCTTTCATTTAAAATATCAGCCAGGTTGATTTGTAGAGACTATCGAGATATAGTTACATAAGAGACTACTGCGTAACAAACCTTTATTTATTTCTACTGTAAGTTGGAAGATGCAGAACGCTCTCTAAATAAAATAGCGAAACGTATGGGTTTATTTCTGTTTAGAAATGATGACTTACTAAAAAATGTGTTTTTCGCGATGTTTTGTTTGAAAAAGAGCCGGATAGTTTCAAAAAAGCATCGTGCCTTTTTTATTTGTTGTCTATTTGTGCTTTGTGTGGTTTCTGTATAGAGAGAGAGAAGAACAGAAAAAAAAGTGAAATATTTGTTCTTTGTTCGATTGCACGAAACACAATCTTGTCCATATATAAAATTGTAATAAATAAAGTAGATATGATTATTTCAGACAGACGCTACCATTTTAGTTTGACTTTGAAACAGAAAAGTGCAATTTTTTTCGTTAAAATGAAAAAGAAAAAGGAGTATATAGTGTGTTATCTTTGGCATTCACGGCAATCATATTCTTTTAACTACCAAATTTTTTAACTATGTATATAGAAATAACAATATTTTCTATGTTTTAAATGTGTATCACGAACACTTTAAAAAAGCTGATCATATGTAGAAATTTATGTAAACTTTAAAACCAAACTTATTGAACTTGTTTGTTGAACTTGAGAACAAGAACTGAAATCATCTTCTTTCTCTTTATCAGACGAAATATAGGTTAAAAAAATGCATGATGAATACGTCAGGATGTTATTCACAACTGCAACAAGCAAACGTAAATGTTCTATTTCTGGGATTTTGTTTCATATAGAATTAAATTGATGAACAAAATGTCAAAAATAGTATTAGCAAATCAAGCTGACTTTCAACGTCATTTAAATGCGAGTAAACGTCGCATGAATGAACTGACGATAAAGTTAAATAATTTAAAACAATTATTACGTTCATCAAAAAAAAACGATTTATTATCCGCACAAACGTTTTTAAAAGACTTTCATAATGCATCCGTATTACAACAACAATTGAATTTGACAATAAGTACTTTGTGCGATTCTTCATTATCAGCGAAAACAACCAGTACTCAATTATCAGAAATGAAGAACTTTATTGAACGTAACATGACAGAATTTATTGATATAAAAAAAAATGGTGAAGAAAAATTTTTCGATATTTTAAAGACTCTGAATAATCAAGACGAGTTTGATATAAATCATCATAGTAATGAAACGACTATTACTGGAAAAGATCAATCTCAAAAACAGATTAGAAATAGTTTAAATATGATTGAACGCGATGTTGAATTAGAATTATTAAATGAACGTACATCTGCATTTATACAATTAGAAAATGATCTAATCAATTTAAAAGAAACATTTATTGATTTAAAAGATATTGTACATTCACAAGGCTATATTATCGATAATATTGAACGTAGTATTGTGAATGTTGATGATACTGTTAAAGAGGCACGTATAAATGTTGAACAAGCAATTGTATATAAAAAAAGTTCAAAAAGAAAAAAATGGGCTTTATTATTTATTATTATTTTAGCTTTTATCATTTTATGTATTTTATTCGCTCTTGTTTTGAAATTTACCTTTCCATTTGGTTAAATAGAGATCATACATGTTTGCTTTATTTTAAAGTAGTGTATTTATTTATCTGATTTATGTCAATGTTTTCCCATATAATTATTACACACATGTTCAAATGCTGCTTCTCTTTTTATTACACTTCAAAAGATATTAAATATACGAAAAAAAGTTATTTTTCTTTCATTAAAGAAAACATTTGCTGTTTGTTTGTTTGTTTGTTTGTTTGCTAGTTTTTATTATAGTTATATACTTGATCATTGTCCATTAAATTGTTATCATTAAAACTCAGAAAACAATATTAAATCCTGCATTATAATACACTACAGCATTACTATCTAAAATTTTAGATTTTTTAAAAATAAATTCTTGATAAATACGCATTCCTTGTGAAGTTCTAAAAATATTGTTCAAAAAAAAAATGATATCAGACGTACAATTAGCCATTGTAGCAAATATATTAAATGTTATGGTATTTCTGCTTATTATACTTTATCATTATATAAATTCGTCAAATGTCAAAGCAAAAAGACGTTCGTAAACGAAACGTTTTTGTGTAAGTATAGAAACTTTAACTGAAGGTTATGGAGATAATAGCTATGGATAATCATTGTTTTCTTTTTCTTTTTCTTTTTTTTAGATAGCACTGTGATAATGACAATATATAGTCGATGGAGATACAGAACTTTGAATGAGTTAAACAAAACAAGAGCGAGTTTCTATAGTGTTTATTTTGATTCTGACTTTATTTTATTTCCAAAGCAAATAGTTGTTCTGTTATTCTAAAGTATAGATTTTTTAAATTTGAATCAAACTTAGCTTTTTGTTTCCTTCTGATTTAGTTTATTATGGTTTGTTTATACCAACGACGTATTTAAAGTTTTTTGTTTTTTTGTTTTTTTTTTTTGTTATTACTGGTATTCAAATAAGTCTGTATGTTTGAAATAAATCGAATTTGTTAATTTTTCTTAGATCTGCTCTATAATAAATACAGATATTATTTTATGTTTAATTTTATGAGCAACTTTTATTAGAATCCTTGTAATGACCTGTCGCTCAAGTCACACATTAAATCTATAACTAACATTGTTTTTGAACATCATGAGATGATAAAATGTCACGTTGAGTGTATGTACCTGTAAGCAAAGTATCACTTAAACTGTTTAAGACACTTAAAAAATAGTGAGTGAATTATTATGAATCAGTTCTAGTCTTTGTTTTACTAAACATAAACAGTTAATTAAGGGCAATAGCAGCAGCAGACGCATTAACAACTATTGAAAATTTGGTTAGAAAGAATAAGTTAGTATAACAGAAAAGCAAGAAAAGAGAAAAAAATGAATAAACAATAATATACAAGTTTTTTTCATGAAATAGTCAATTTTTAAAATGTTAGCAACGAAAAGCAGCACAATGTTTTATTTATATAAATGTTATAACATACTTTTATTTTTCATAAAAATGTACACATCAAAGAGAAGAAATCGTTTATATGCTTGAAAACGTTTGACTATTTCTCTTGTACAAATGATATAGTTCTTTAAATAAACACGTGTAGTCTAGAAAACAGAAGAGAAAGTTAGTTGTCGGGAGAAGAGATCTTTTACCAAGGGAAAGAGATGAATTTGTTTGAACACATTTTAGTCTGTCTGTTGGTAAGTGATCGGTATCACGTGATTTGGTTATGTATATATTTTGCAAAATGAGAGGGATGATACTTAAAGTTTCAAAGTGCCACTTCGAAGTGGCTAAGTGCCACTCCGAAGGATGTGCATTCTATTTTACGGTCGTTTTTCGGCTAAAAACATGACTGGTCTTCATAACCTTACTTTTTTTTTAAAGAAAAAGTCTTCTACTCACGTCTAATGTTTGAACGAGTCTATATTCAAACCATAGATTATAAAGAAAAAAAGTAAGTAAGAACACATCATTTCTGTTTGTTGATGTTTTATATTTACTTTCAAAAATCGTAGACTATTAATCGTAAAAAAAAATTTCATGAAGAGAAGTTTTTCTTGGTTACTAAATTAATCATCTAAAGTAAAAAGTATTTTTGTTTTTGTAAAACGAACCTATAGAACATCGTCACGTTCTTTGAATAATATATGAAATTTTTTCTTTTCTACATAAAAATATTAATTTAAATTATTTGTTAGTTACCTTAAAATATATTTGACATGAAACAAGTTATCGTGGGAAAAAAATGAAAAATTTAAATTATTTTGTTTAATTTAAATTTAAAATTTAGTAAAAGTACGTTGAAACAATTTTATATTACGTCATGAATGAAAATTTTCAGACAAAATCACTTGTTTGTTTAATTTGAGAGAATGAAATTTAATAATCTGAAGTAATCTGTATCCAATACGATTTCGACTACGATGGCAAAAAAATATTTCTTTTTTGTAACATGTAAAGGTTTTTGGATTGTAAAAATGTCTGGAAATGTTTGATTAATAAAATAACCCTCTCAATTTTCTTCTCAGTTTCTAGAGAAAAAATATTTTTATGATATACTTTAGTTACCCTATTATAATTAAAATAAAAAACCAAAAATATTTAATGACAAGTCTTTTTGTTTTCCAGTTCTTATCTCTTATTTTCTATTTCCTCATTTTATTTTTCATAGCATTTGTCTACCGTTTGTTTTTTCTCTTTATACTGTTTTTTGACATGCGGATAATAAAAAGAATTTACATCTGGCATTTTTAAAAGAGATGAATCATTATGCAATGCTGATGTTATGTCGATAGAGAAAAAAAGAATATATAAAAACAAAATTTTCATTTGTTTATGTCCTTTAGAAGTATAATATAATGAAAATAATTTTTGTTTGTAAGATTATATATTCTTATTTGTTACTGTCTATACTCTATAGTATTTTTTCCACTTTAATTGCCTTACTACCAATATTGATAGAACCTAAACTTTTTTTATAGCTTTGTTTTATATGAAATTCATTTTTAATGTTCTAAATTCAGAGATGAATAACTCGTCTGTTTTTACTCTAGACAATTTATAAGATAATATATGAATTGTGAATTACTTTGGTACATCAATGTTTGATTTATTCTATATACGTTCTTTTTTGTTTTAGATATTGCTAATATTTTGTCATCGTGTATAGGATATTGTTATGACGACGATCACGTCTAGATTGATAAATTATTAAAGTGTAGATCAACGAATCAAAACATTAAGTTGACTTTTTATATATAGACAGTCTCCTTATACAGGAAAATGGGTCAAATACTAGAACATTTTGGCATCCATATAGGAACTCGTTTAGATGAACACGAAAATAACCGAATACCAATACATCATAAATGTCGTA